GGAATTTAAAGGCATTTACCTACATTTCCCTCAATAAACCTGACCTGACACTGTATACCTTTATTGCAGCCGGTTCCGTAGTAAAAAAGGATGGGGTCTCGTGTGCCGATCTGGGAGATAAACTACACATCTACTAATTAATCAAAACGAATTATGAGCAGAAGCTCTAAAAACCTTATGCCCTTGTTGCCCTGGCTTCATATCCCACCGAGGCCGATGACTTAAAAGAAGTAATGGGTACACTCAGTTTCTTAAATATTTTGTAGTATTATTGACGTTTTGTAAACTTTGCCCATTTTCACGGAAAATATATGCAAAACTATGAAGGTCTAAAGTTACGCTAAACCGCACTTACAATATAATGTTTATTTCGACCAATTATGACGTCCTGAACGTTTTCTACACAGTCTCACAAAATATATGAAGCCAAGCTCAGGTGGCGAGCAATCGGACACTTTCAAAAGAAATTAAATGTTACCCTTAAAGTGATTTTGCAGAGGTAAAAGTATATAAAAAGATGATTGCTGGGGACGGGCCCATCTAGAGCGACCCCTTTAAAAAATTAATATTTTTTCTCGAAAACGATGAAGACTTCGCACTTTTTTAACTTTAAAATGCACCACGAGGAAACTGTTGTTGCCTACAAGCGCTGTAATACGTCCTCACAGTCTACGAAGTGTGATAAAGACGCATATAAAAAGCGAAAATAAATGGCAATTGGAAAAGCTGACAGCTGAAAGGGACTAAAAGACTTACTTCAGAGCTAGATTCTGGTCTTGCTTCAGTTCGTCAAAAAAGGCTATTTTGAACTCGTGACGTACAAAGAGGAGCTGTAGAAGATAAAAGATAAATATCGTTACTGTAATTTGGTACAGGCTGTCATTTGTATCTTCTAATTTACCTTTAGACGATTAATTAATGCCTGTGTTGACATGTTTACGTCCCGCAATGAAAACTGCAGGATAGGTCAAATAAGAGCATCCCAAACGTTGCCGCAAACAGTCTTTTGTACCCTCAGGACCCCGACGAAGCAACGATTTTATTCTATTTTAATACAGTTATAAGGTATTACGTGAGGGACTGAAATAACATAAGAACATCAAAGTTGGTTGAAGTCTAATAGTTCGTTATACTTTTCTCGATATCCGCCTTCTCCTACAGTTACGTCCAACAGCACTATTTCATCAAGGGTATACAGAAAAGGTATAATACTGATGTGTCAAAAATTTCCATTCGTTTCCCTGACTCGCAATTTGCTTCTGAGTGGACTAACAGTAGATAGGTGTCAACTTTTCTGTTACGCTAAAAAGCCGTCTTGGCAGGACTGACTTTTTCTCTTTTTTTCTTTCACTTATAACAATAACCTACTTTCATATTTTCAGTAACCCGGCTTTCCACTTTTTCGTCGAATTTCCCCCAATTGGCATCCATATCCCGCGCAACAGGAGTTTGTGTTGATGGAATTTTATTCTATTTTAGTATATTAAAACAAACATAATCTTATTTACTTTAACATTATTGATAACTTTCGCCACAATCATATATTCATTTACGCTCAATAGCCAAGAATTAAATGTTTGGCCACAAAATACGTTAGGCAGGTGGGCGGGGTGAATAGATATGTAGAGGGCCCTAAAAGTCAGCTTTGCCACCGTCATCTCCCCCAAGAGGATTACTGAGCCATATGCCTACTCGAAAATCAATAACATTTCACAAAAGTCAACATACCTGATGATTTGTCTTGTTCAAACTTGTTCTGTGGCTTTTTACACGTTTCGCGGCGTTGTGATAGTAATTGGAGGCCATATCATGCATTTCAGTTTCCAGCCTGTAAGTAAAAGATTTTCATCCCTTGAGAAATTGAAAAATTAAACTGCCCAGGACGTTAGCCGACAAAAGGACTTGTGTGAAGTAAGCGGGCCAAATAGCTCAGTTCAATGCGTCAGGCTTTCGAATGCTAAGTCACCAACTGTGCACGATCAAAAATTCTTGTTCGAACCGGTCCCATCGGGTAAGCAAGTTAAGTCGACAAACGGATTCCTATTGGCCACATTGGATGATACAGCCTTCATAGCGAATTAGGTGTAGACTATTGAATATGCTGGATAAATGATGATGATGATGATGATGATGATGATGATGATGATGATGATGATGA